TATTTACAAGACCAAATACATAATAGAAAAGGGCAGTCTAAAAAGCAAAATGGGAAAATTATTAAGTAATTTTCAGAGTTGCCAAAATGAAATAAAATTCTTTATTTGTCCCATAGGGGGTCATTCTAAATTTAGTGTTGTGCAAATTCAAAAGGAGAAATAATAGCGCTTATAACATCAAACAGATCTACTCTTTAAGATAATAGATCATATAATAATAAGATAATAATAGAATAGAATGAAATAGTCTGGAGCTATAATGTCATTGGATTCGAGGAGCTATAGGTTGAAAGGTCGCTAGGAAGAGGTGTCAGAATAAACAATAGTAATAATAGTTAGACTAGTGAATAATCAAAATAGTTCTATTGTGGAAATAAGTATCAATAAGGTCAAATTGTTCTAATAACTAAAGTAAAAAAGGAATCAAATGAAGTCCGATTTTAGATGTTTCTGTTTTCCACATCTGTAGGAATTAGTGCAGATGTGGTTATAGAGAGTAGTATTAAAATGCAGACATAGAACGACAGGCTTTAACACAATTTTAAATCTAAAAATAGCTCAAATATAACATTGCTCTTGACGCAGCCTCTGAGCTGCTCCATTGGAGAACAGGTTAAATGTTATTGTTTATTACAAACAGCTGATGTATTTACACATATTAAGTTTGGGACAACTCTTTAAACAGTTATAAGCAGTGGACAGAAGCCATAATGTGCTTTTGTTTATTAAATAATTAATTTCATAGCCTTATAATCGTAGAGAACGTTTTAAAATAGTTAAAATCCCTTTCAGGCAACTTGATTTAGATGTATGTCTTTAATATTGGAGAACGACTGTGTTGTTTTTGGAATTGTCTGAAATACAATACATAGAATAGTGATTTGCAGAACAAGAACCGGCCAATAAAAAATCGTCTATTGCCAATGCAATTGTTACAATCAGAACTCAAAAATTGGGAGTATGCCTTTGCTCAAGCTGCAACCGAGCTTTAGAGTCACAATAGAGTAAAAATAGGAATAGATAAATGCATCAACCATAGATGCTTTCAAAAATAGAGATTATTTTTAGCCAAGGCTAATATCAAACGGTAAAAGGACCATTTCCTTCATATTATGTCCAAAAGTATTTACTTCAAAGGTAGATAAAGTTCATTACAGTTTATGCACAGGTTTATTAGATACTGTCAAATTCGCTTGTTTCAAACATAGGTGAATGTTAACAATGCCAAAAGTTAATGAGATAGATTAGAAACAACAGAGATTCAAAAACATTTAAAAGCATTTTAATGTATTTGGGTATAGCACAAAAGTAGATATTTAGGTATTTTTTGAGAATTTTAAGAGCTGTCGACTTGTCAATATGGATTAGAAAATCGAATACCATGGTAGAGTAACTGACCCCAAAAACCTGCTAAAATAGATTAGCTCCTGTACGGATAATACCAATTTGATTAACGATGTACATTTATCCCAAACGGTCTGAGAGAAGGAAGTGACAGCACTTCCTGGTTCAACAAAATGTGTTTGGAAAAATGAGCAAAGCCCCACAAAATGGCCCAAAGCCACTGATAATGAAAGCAAACCACAGTATAGATAGATTTATTAGATAAAAACATATGTTTAAGAATATGGCTCAATAAAAGCAAAGATGCAAACATATTGGTAAATAGATTAGAATAGTTTAAACTATAGTGAATAGTTTTAGTGCATACATTACAGACGAGGTTGAAGAAGAATCAGAATGACAGCAGTGGTCATCAAAGAGTTTTGTGAAGGAATGTTTCGAATGTTGTTGTGTGTGTATTCTTTCTGTATTAACTCTTCACAGATAACGAGCCAGAACCAAGAACCAAGGCGATGATGGACGAGCTCCCCAGTCTCGGCACCCAGAAGGAATATTGAAAGATTGTGACCTAAATTGGTTTAATATAGGTCAACAGAGGGGAACTGTTGTATATTTTAATATTTGACCATTTGAACATCATAGCCAGAAAGACCTCCGTGCACTCAGGAAAAACCCCAAGGACACAGGATAATCAGACATGAGTCATAAAGATAAAATGCTGTTTAAACAGGGCGAATTATTAACTTTAAATAATAAACATTTTGACGAGGACAAGAGTTCAGAACCTGAATCTTGAGGCAGACTGGGAGATTCACCAATTGCATTCTGACGCCTCCCAGTGGACAAGGGACGTCAGCACACCCGGAAACTCCACCCCTTGGACGCATAAGGATGACGTCATCGGAAGTCTCCCTCATGAGCCCCTGTGTGTGTTTTTCGAGGTCAGACAGGACAGGGCACGGACAGGGGAAGAGCAGGCCTAGAATAGGAGCACTTTTGTTGAACATTCTGTATCTGATTGTAAAGATAATTAAATGCAGATGTTAAACGTGAAGATCTCTTGTCTCGCTCTTGCATCGACTTTGGATACGTCAGTCAAAGGGAATTATTGACTTCAGGACCCATGAACTAGTTTATCTATTTTATATTATATATATATATATATATATAAATATATATATAATATATATATATACAGAACCAAACTCAGTTACCATCACAGAGGCAGACATCCGAGAAAGAGTCTCAGGTATGAAAAACTGGACCGCACCTGGCCCTGATATGGTCCATGCCTACTGGCTAAGGACACTCACATCACAGCAGACGATGAGGACAGTTACAAGTATCTCGGTATACCACAGGCAAATGGCAACCTCGAACAGTTGACGAGGAAAGCGGCAACTGCCAAATACCTCCAGCGAGTAAGGCAGGTCTTAAGAAGCCGGCTCAATGGCAAGAACAAAGCCCGGGCAATTAACAGCTACGCCCTGCCAGTGATCAGATACCCTGCAGGAATAATCAGGTGGCCAAAGGAAGAGATTCAGACCACGGATGTTAAAACTCGAAAGCTCCTTACCATGCATGGCGGGTTCCATCCCAAATCCAGCACCCTGAGACTGCACGTAAGCCGTAAAGAAGGAGGCCGAGGACTAGTGAGTGTGAGAGCCACTGTCCAGGACGAAACATCCAAACTCCATAACTACATCATGGAGAAGGCCAAAACAGATGACGTACTCAGTGAATGTCTCAGGCAGTGGCGAGATGAGGAGGTGCTGGAGCAGAGCCCATCATGGGAGAACAAGCCCCTACACGGCATGTACCACCGGAGCATAGCAGAAGTGGCTGATCTCAAGAAGTCCTACCAATGGCTAGAAAGGGCTGGCCTACAGGACAGCACAGAGGCACTCATCATGGCTGCACAGGAGCAGGCCCTGAGCACCAGAGCGATAGAGGCCCAGATATACCACACCAGACAAGACCCAAGGAGTCGGTTGTGCAAAGAGGCACCTGAGACGATCCAACACATAACTGCAGGGTACAAGATGCCCTGCAGTGGAGGGTAAAGGTGACAGTAGTGCCCGTGGTGATCGGTGCACTCGGGGCAGTGACCCCGAAGCTAGAAGAGTGGTTGCGGCGGATCCCCGGAACAATCTCTGACATCTCGGTCCAGAAATGTGCAGTGCTAGGAACAGCAAAGATACTGCACAGAACCCTCAAGCTCCCAGGCCTCTGGTAGAGGACCCAAGCTTAGAGAGGGATAACCGCCCGCAGAGGGCCAAAGGTGAGTGGACAATTTTTTTTTATATATATAATATATATATACAAAAAAAAAGGAAAGAAGATTGCGAGGACCTGTGCATTTATTATATTTAAGATAGACCACGGAGACCACTTCCACTCGTCCAGGCCCACTGAGGAGTCTAAGTGGGACACCAAATACACCGCTTTAGACTGTCCATCACCAACACTTGGACTGGTTCCCTCCAGTTTGTCACGGATGGATGTCATTTTATCATTAAAGGAGTGAAGAAAGTTGACACTGCTCAGTGAGCTTGGTATTTTAGGCGGGATTGCTCTATGGCAGTTTGTGAGTTTAGCGACGGTGCTAAACAAAAATGTACTGGTTTTTATTTTTTTCGCTTTAGACGCAAAATATTAGTCAAATATATCCAGCTTTTATTTGTTATAGTATTTATGAGTGGTTCACAGCTTTTAAAAACCTAAATAAAACATAAAATAATAATAATAATTGAACACTGTCAGATCTCTCACATTTTCAGGGAGACTGCTTCAGATTATAGCTGTATTAATCTGAAACGCTGCCTCCCCATGTTCAGTCCTGACTCAAGACCATGCCAAATAAAAGCTTGATATATTTGCATTTAAAAAGTCTATTAATATTGGGTTCACATTACAATTTGAATTTCAGTAGTAAATTAATTTTAAACTCAACAAATATTTTGAAAATTGACAATAAGCCATAACCAACAAAATTATGGTTATACAGGCTTGACAGACTTGATTGTAAATGAGTGTATATCAAATATTTGTTTCAAATTTTTAAGTTGAATTACAGAAATAACTTATATTTTTCTGCATTTCACCTTCACTGTCCCCACTTGACTGGGTGAACCCGAACACATGTCCCATCAAAATCCTCTTTATTTATAAAACAAAATGTTTCCATAGCAGTGCACATGCTAGTGGGCACATGCTAGGTGGGCCACCCATGTGCTTCAGGTCTGTCAGGCGGTCACGAGTCGGCCCTGTGGAGAGGGCGTCTGCTGCGGTGGTGAGTGAGGCTCTGCTGAGCCGACTGCCCAGAGCCGACTTTAGTACCACCCTCTAAAACCTGAAGTTTTCCTGAATTTCAACGTCTTAAAAAATATTTATATCTGATAGATAGATAGAAACATAATTTCAAAAGAAATTCTCTTCATTCTGAGGAACTCATGTCTTCCTACCGACGCTCTCAAAATATCCTTTTTCGGGAGACCCCTGCGGTTAGGCCAAGTAGTGCCGCAAGCATTCAGGCCATGGCTCTTCATCTCCTCCAGCAGCTCTACCCCAGTGTAAAAATTGCCCATGTCAATGGACAGGTTAGAGCTAAAATAGGGTCTGGCTAGATCCTTGACCACACGGTGTGCAAGGCCCTTCTAGTGTTTCCCTTCACGGCCGCAATACACCTCGACGTTGGTCACATATCCCGTGGAGCTCTCCGCCATGACCCACACCTTGATACCCCACTTGGTCGGCTTCATGGGGAGGTACTGTCTGAATGAGAGATGCCCTTTGAACTTGATCATACTCTCATCCACAGACACAGTGCCATTCACTTCATATAGTGTCTGGAATCGAGAAGTGAGATAATTCAGGAACCATCGCATCTTCCAGTGCTTGTCCTGCCTATCGATGTCTGCTGCATGGTTGTTCAGGAGGTGTAGATATCTGAAAATATTGAAATAAACATGTAAATTACCTCCAATATAAGCATAATATAAAACATTTTCATGTGTTGTTACTTTTTTTATATGTTAGCTGTTTATACCTGTATGATGACTGAATAAAAGTATGCCTACTATGCATGAGACTAATATATCTATATTTGTAATTGGGCCCTAATCACACATCTTTAGAATAAATACTTACTGACATATTTATGATTACTTTAATGATAATAAAAAGCTACAATTTCTAATAATGATCAACAAGAGCTGTGAATACACCACACTGCCTCATCCAAATAAATGCAAATAATAATACTAATGCACGCCATTTATGCATATAGAGACATAGCGTAAAATGAGACGGTCAGGTGTTGTTTGTTGTTATTTCACCGTCACAGTCACACTAATAATAGGTACTAATGATTGGTATCATTACTGATCTCTTACCTCCATATTGCCACAAATCAGTCCTGGGACATACCGATACATACACGGGTGACCACTTTACATTCTTTGCCTCAGTCGGAGCGCTCCGGGTCTGTTCACAATAAATATTGGTCTCCGTAACGAGGTACGCCCAGAGTTCGTCTGCAAAGATGTGTTTGAAAACATCCAAAGGTGTAGCATCTGCGGGAATGGTTACTTTTGCTCCCGGGGCGCGATTGAATTCACCTCGGGAGTTTGAGTGGAAATTCTTGGTCTTCCACTCTGTTTCAAAGCCTTCAAAATCTTCAACATCATCCTCACTGTCAAACATATGCCTCAACCTTCAATCACTTAAATCCTTAAATCCTCCAATTCATCGTGTATGTCACTGCCATCAGAACTCTGCGCTAAAGTTTCCTGTGGCTGCCATGGTGTCAACAAATGATTCCGCCCCACGTGATTATCCTGATGCATTTTATCGGTCAAATGACCAATGAAGAGAATTGCTCAATAAAAGATTAAATGACGTATGCGCTTTCCTGGTCTTAAACGTAGAAGTGCGCAACAGCGCTCCCGGCTTGAAAGGTAGAAATGAGGCAACGGCCTCAATGGGTTAATATAAATGTTCTGTGTCTAGCAGTGTAAATATTTTTGAGATGTTTATTCCCAAATAAAAAAAAACACTCGGACAGAATTCTGTAGTTGTTTTTGAAGCACAGGTCGCAAATGCAAATCACGGCATACGTGAAGTGTGACAGCAAACCCTGAAAGCAGCGCATTGCTAAGCTGTTGTAGGGGGGTGCGGACATGCAGGTGTCCACCCCACACATACACTATGTCGGCCATCTGCAACTGTCAGCTACATGTCAATCAAGTAATCTCAATTTGTATGCACATTGATCAACATTCATGGACATTGGTCTCTCCCTATGAACCAATACAGATGCGTTCTATATTTTTTGGGTCTTAACTGTTGATTCTCTGATCTGTGTTGGTGATTTCAACGGTTCTGTTTGGTCCTCTGAGATGACTGCTGTCGTGATTTAGGGCTATACCAGAATAAATTGTTTAGGATTGTATTTGTAGAACAACTTTCATGCACATGGAAACACAAAGCGCTGCACGGTCCATCTCAAACAAGGCACAAATCATTACATAAAACACACACAAAAAATAAAACAAGCAAATTACACAGGCAATGAAATACACATCACAAGGGACTCTTAATAACCACAGTGCAATAAGAAGTGAAATACAATTCCTCCACACACACAACCGTCATCATAACCTGCATTCGAACATTGCCAGAGACGCCTCTCTCACATTCAGGGAAACTTCCAGATTTTAGCTGCACAAATTGTACATGCCACATGTTTAGTCTTGACTGTGGGCACCAGCAGGAGGCCAGTCCCTGTGCTCCTCAAAGTCAGACTGATCATATGGCACCAACATGTCACAGATGTATCCTGGTGCAGGGCTGTGTTGAATCAGGCCTCCAACTCCATGAATCCAATAAAGTCCAATAGCTGGGAGCTAAGGTGAGCCCATAGTCTGGTTTCAAGATCCTACTTAGAAATAATAGACTAACCACGAGTGTCCAGTGGTGGTTTGTGCAGACTGCACCAAAGAGTCAATACAGCAAGCATTCACCCTTCTGGTAGCAAGTGAAAGTATGAATTCACCGCCTGCAAAGTACATTATATGAGGACATTAATCCATTAGTACACAATAGGACACAGTAGGCCATACCTCACTCTCCACCTCTTTCCCAGGGGCAAGATTCATGAAATCACTTGTGAAGAGCCGGAATGGCCCAATTCGGCTCCACAGCGTATGCCCTGGGCTCACGCCTGCTGCAATCAGCTCTAGATCTGGAAACCAGATAAATTGACAGAGGTTTGAAGGAATTGTGAAATCTATGCTTTACTTACAGCTCTCCACAGCCTCAGGAGTGGGTGCCCTCAAGACTGGAGCCTCGCGGTCCAGTGGAGGTGGAGTACCCAGGTCCACCTTTTGGGGAAAGCTGAGGTCCAGCGGAGGTGGAGTACCCAGGTCCACCTTTTGGGGAAAGCTGAGGTCCAGGGGAGGTGGAATGCCCAGGTTGAGAGAACCCCCTTAAGATTTGCTGGTATCCTGGAGCAAGGAACAATGTAGGGAGTCATGTGATCAATGCTCATGCATTTCCTTACGGTGCCATCGGGGGCCTTCAGGCTGGCAGTCTTCCCATCCAAGTAGAAGATGCGGAAAGGCCCCAGCATGTCCTTCTCCAGTTTCCCGCCTTTTTGCTGCTCTTCTCTTATGTTTCTCAACAACACAAAGTCCCCTACATGGAATTTGTTATCTTGGCCAGTTTGTTCCCTCTTCTGCCGGCCCTTTTGCTGACTCTTCTTTTTGTTTCCTAAAGCAACTTTCTGGTTGACCCCTAGGGTCTGCAGGCCAGGCCACAGCTCCTCTGCCTCTGCCAAGGCGTTCACACGGCTCTCCTCCACCTGTTTGATACAAAAGCAAAGAAACAGTAGAAAATAAGTACATACACATTGGGCAACAGTGACCTTACCTCATACTTCTCTGGAATTCCAGATGGGTACCTGGCCTCCCTCCGAAATAAAAGATAATAAGGACTATGCCATGTGGTCAGCTGCATTTTGGTCCTTAAAGCAAACATGGTGGCCTGGAGGTATTGACCAGATGCATCAACGTCATCCAGTCACGTGATTGTGAATGAGCTTACGGCGGAAGTATTGGAAACTAGCATTGCTGCGAGAGCAAAACTGACTACAACTCTTAAAAACGGAGCTTCCTCTCCTAAATCGAGAAGTGGCTGCTTCAAGCACATGTTTGATTACGTTATAGGTGGAAGTAGGACATGAGGTCAGGGCTCACAAAGAGTGGTATTTGGAGAAGTTAAGGATTGCCTAACTGGATGTTGACCCGTACCTTCTCCCCCCAGTCAATTTTATCGATTAAATAAAATGTCTATTTTTGCCCGAATTCACCTTACATGATCTTTATCGTTAACAATGCATCCCCTCACACTGGAGCAGATTTATATGCACATTTTGCTGGTAGCATTAGCAATAGTCCACTTTTCTGTGGCTTTTCTGTCTACAGCCAAACATGATACGTTCTGACGGAGAGGAAAATAGTGAAACACGCAATTGACTTAAAAGATAAAAATGTCAATGTTGCAGCGCACATACAGGACAGTAGTAAGAGACACGTTTGACGTGTGTCATTGTCCTCCAAATTAATGGAAATAAAATAAATACAAACTTGTGATTGCTTTATCTTGTAAAAAGTGTTCACTGCATATTAGGGAGTACTTGGATGGGTCCCAGTCCTTTTGGTTGATTGCCGCTGGCCATCGTCGTCTTCTGTCTTCATGACGAGCAGGTATCAGATAAAAAAGCTTATGTCCATGCCTGTTAGTATAATCAACCGCACTGCAAAATGTCACAGTTTTGGCTGTAATGCGCTGAAACAGGTTGTTTTGGTCAGGTGTCCGTACGCTCGCAGTTAGACTTCTGCCGTCTCTCATGGAGAGTGGGCGTGGCCGGGACATCACATGCAAGGGGTCAATTCCTACCACATATTTGTATGCCCCCCCACCATTTTATCAAGGCACCTCAGTACAAAACAGATAAATGCGTTATTAGTCTCATTATGAATTCATGTTAATCACATGAAACATGAAAGTAAAAGAAACATGGAGAAGAATGAAGTGCAAAGCATTAAGGCACTGATACAACATACAAAGGTGTATATCTAAAGAAAAGAAATACAAGTTCTCACCTTTTAATGGTCCCATTCATTTTCTCCACCAAACCATTGGTGGAATAGCCTGGTTGTACCACACCTTAGTATGAAATGAAATTTGTACTAATGTCTGGATTTGCTCCATTGAGCTCCGTGAACAGGTGGGAGGGGTTAACTCCTTTTGCGGATTGAAACGATTGGATCTGAGATTACCGTGACATATGTAATGCGCCCAAGTGAGTTGTTAGCATTTAGCCTAGCCATCTCCTTTGCCGCTAACGGAGCCCGTGGGGAGTAGCGCCACAATCTTGACCAGCGATTACATTTGCTAAACATTCCTCTTGCTCCTGCTTCAATTTCTTGATAGAACCAGACCGGATTACTTTACTATCGCATTCTTCGCCACTGCCAAACTACAACCTGCCCGTTCGGCGCAAACTCTTGACGTCACCGGCACCGACCTACAACGCGCTCTCTGAGTAGCCGGTCGAAATACGACCGATTGTAATCGCTAACACAGGGACCAGACCCAGACGCTACATGCAGTGAAATGATGATTGAGCGGAGTGTACGGATGGCTATGGCCAGGCTATTGGTGAAAGGGTGGTAGGCGGCGCACATACTGCGCTTTACCCCTAGTTTGCTGCAAACTACTGTATTCAACTGAAATCACATGCAATTAGGACACAATGCTGAATAAGAACAGGCTTATTCTTCCCTAGGCCTATCTTCTTAAAACAAAAAAAAACTCAAATGCAGCCAGTCACCTCTTCTGCTGTTTTGGTTAAAAGAGGAAAGGCCTCCACCCACTTTGTGTAATAGTCAATCATGACACAAATGTATTGGTGAGTCGGGGTTAGCTTCCCCACCAGGTCCATTCCAACCAATTCAAATGGCTCAGTGACCTATAGGTACAACATATGATCAACATGATCTGAAACATGCAAGAACTGTGAAAGAAATTGGATTTATTACCTCAATTGATTGGTATTGTACTTTGGCCTTCAAATTTGCTCTCCTCTTTTGGCACTCAGGGCACTGCTTCACCTTTAATTAGTAATAATAGTAATATAAGAAATCCTTATCAATATTTTACATTCTTGATGACAATGCCACAAAGTACATTATATTGACAGTGTATCAATTGGCCCACACTTACACATGTCTGAATGTCCCTCTCCATTTTAGGCCAGTAATAACGATCAATAATGGCCAGGTGGGTTTTCTCCCAGCCACAGTGGCCTCCAATAGGGCTGGCATAAAATTCAATGAATATATCGTTTGCCTCTTTGGCCGAGCCAACCACCTTAGCAAAGTGTGCACACCCCCTCCTCCGTCTGCATATGTAATGCAGTGCCTCGTCTTGTATACAGAAACATAGCCATTATTAATTATGCCTACAACCCACATTGTAAATATTTTTGACACTCACCTTTCATTTTGTAGTTCGTTGCCTGTCGTCTGATTGGCATCAGACATTCTAAAGTTTACAAAGAGGGTAGGCGTCCATGTACCAACAACTCCACAAGTTGATCAAACTTGGTACGTTCCATACTAATAAACAAGAACTAGCTCTCTGGCTCAATCTAATAAAACTAAAACTAGCTCTCTGGCTCAATCTTATTACACAAAAACTAGCTCTCTTGCTCAATCAAAATTTTTTACCACTAAACTGCTGACTCTATAGCAGGGGTCGGCAACCTATGGCACGCCGCGGAATAAACACTGACACGCTGGCACCTCAGTATTGTTATGATACTCACTTTATCTGCCTCTTTGTCCAGGACTCAATTGAAAAAGAGGTTCTTAATCTCAATGGGACTTTCCTCGTTAAATAAAGGTGAAATAAAAAAAAAATTGTGTAATACAGATCTGCCTCTCCACACAGTGAGATGGCTGAGTTGTGGAAAAGTTCTGGAGGGATTTGTCAGCTGCTTTGATGCTATCAAGGCCTTTCTGAATGAAAAGGGCCAATAATATCCAGAACTTTTCATTCACGGTCTTATTCCCTGGCAAGCAATTTCCAAAGAGCCGGCACCTTCCTTTTGGGTATTTAATCTCATCATCTCTTTCCCCTTCTGCAATCGTGCAGTGCTCTACATGATGTGCAATGAAAACACAGCATATAATATTGCCAGAGTGGGAACATATTTATTGTTGTCAAAATCTTGAATTTCATGCATGTTTTTCGTGTTGTGACGAAGGGTGAAATGAGCGTACACATTTACACCACCTATTGACTTGGTGTAAATTCTGTGCGTATCGTACGCTCACGTCCAGATTGATCAATAGGGAAAAGTGTAAATTTTTTGCGTACGCATAATTTACACCCTGATTTGGCCATATGCAAGTTTCATACATGAGGCCCAATAAATGTAATCTTGAAAATATTGTCTTTAGTGTCATGTGTAATTCATGCAGTGTCATATTACCTGCCAATCAACATACAATTCTAATACTATGTTTTGCCTGTTTGAGTCTCTCCAGATTGAAATGAAGCTTAAGCGCAAATTCAGAGTGGAAGACATAAGAACCCAGTTCCGAGCACTCCCAAACAGGAGCGCTCAGTTCTCCTGCTGTTGCCCACAGCAACAGCAATCATTCAATCACACTCAGCTGTGCAGCGCCTCACGCAAATCCTCACCTGCAGCAATCAGGCACTGCCCACATCAGCTTCATATCGCGCAGAAGCTCCATCCAAGCAGCAGCTTCATTCACGCTGCAACCCTCCTCCTCCCCATCTCCGCCTTGTTCTAGGCCAGCTCCTTCATCCTTCTCCTAGCTACCACCACCAGGGTCTAGGCCCCGGGGGATTTCATCTCATAATCTTTCCCCTTCTGCAATCGTGCAGCGCTCTGCCGGGGTCTAAGTGCCAAATCCTAACCACATTCTGTTCAGCACAATAAATGTAATTCAATTCAATTCAATTCAATTCTTTTATTTACAAAACTCGTAGCCATATTGGTTATACACTTTTACAATTAAGTGTTGGTTGGTGTTTTGTAAAAAGGGAACTCCCAGGAAGCTGCATTAGCTTATAGACGGGGCCCCAAAAACAACACATGACACACATAACACATAACACATAAAACAACACAGCAGAAATAAGTGTAACATTCCATACTACTACACAATCCCAAAAACCCACTTACAAACACCCCACCCATCCCCACCCCACCCCACCCATTCCATCCCACCCATCTATAGGTCCCCACAGTTGCAGTCTCAGTCATTCGGTTCATTTTCCAATAGATTGGTCTTAGTCATAGTACAGTAACTTTTTACACATTGATATTAACACAGCAAATGTGCCACATAATAATTCACTTCATCCATGATACAGGAACAAAACAATAAATACAGTACATAAGTTTCTTTACCCGTTTACAGTTTTCAGTGCAGGGCTCATAATGTATAATGTTGGAGCAAACTGTGTTTCAATCTTTTTTTAAAGGTTCTCAATGATTTTGATTGAGTAATAGGACTGTCCAGCTCATTCCAGATGTTTGGACCTTTGCAGGTGATACTAAAACTGGTACATTTGAGTTTGCGGCGTTTGCCCTTCAGCCAGTGTTTCCTTCTAGTGGCTTTTAGGTTCTTCTAATAAGACAATTAAAGCAAAACAAAGCTAGTACTGCTTAAATACCTGACATGTTTCCTTCTAGTGTCGTGTGTGTGTGTCGAAGTAGAGATAGGAATGAGCTGACAGAGGCGATCATTTAGTTTATACACAACATTATACATCACACAAGCATTGTATAGAATGTTACTCTCAATAAGTTTCAGAAGCTTCAACCTGTAAAAAAGTGGATTTGAGGGAGCGTTGTAATCAGACCATGTTATGACTCTAATTACTTTTTTTTGAAGAATATGTATTTTGTCTAAATA